CAGATATATAGCTTTTACTTTACAATAGTACTATAAATTGTAAAATAGCATGTCATTTACATATTGTCATATCTTGTAATAAGGTAGGCTGAGAAGGACAACAATTGGAAAGTTCAAAAGTCTTATATCAATCCATAGTACCCCCCCCCCCCTTCATTAATACACATGTACAGTGTCTTACTGAACACCTGCTCTCTCTCTTGTAGACACCCTTCCTTGGCACATACCCTACTGACAAATTACCCTCTCTGAAGTAAATACCTCCCAACATTGAACCCCAAAAAAATGTTCAATATATACAAGTTTTACTGTATTTTCAACACAACATGTAAGAAGTAGGGGAGGGAGGGATTAGAAACTAATGCAAGGCTAAAGGTCAAAATTCAATAACCCAAAAATGATCCTATACTCTCCTGTTCTAGCTGGACTACCTAACATGTGTGAGGTCCAGGTAAATCAAAACAAACTAGACTATTCATCAGCCTCAAGTCAGTTCATAATGTGTGGAATTCAGAAAACATTTATAAACCTTCTTGGCTGAGTACTCAGCTGTCAAACTATTAGTCCCTATTAAAATATTCAGAATGATCACTCTAAACATGTTTATTTAGCTTGGGGATTGGTCATTTTCAACAAACATTCCAAGTTGAATTTCCAGACATATTATCGCTCAACAATCAGTCAATAGTCAAAACATTTTAGTTACAGTAAAACATGTTGAAATTGAACAATGCTGTAACCAGATAAATTAAGGTTCATATTCGAGGTGTTCTTATTCACAGGCACTGAATGCCCATAATAACATGAAAAGTTGGAGGGTTAGCCAAAAATTGGACCATAAAGACTGTTCACATTTGAAACAGCTCACTTTAAAGATACTTTCATATATGCATATAAAGAGGTACTCGTATATAAAGGTTTAACTGTATAACATTTTTAAAATAAATTTTGGCTGACGACAAGACCAACCGCTGTAAACAGTATGTGTTGACACAACAAACAGAGGGAAGATAAAATCTTAACCAGAAAAAGTTAATTCCGTTAATTATCTCCGCCATTCGTACTAAAAAACATACAGACTCACAGTTGAAATTTCACCGTTAATTTCATCACCCAGTGATCCATGATGATGGTGTAGAAATCACTGGGGTGATCCCCACATGTTACTATGTCATTGAGTATCCTCTGCCAAGTTACTCTTAAACAGTTATAGTATGTATAGATGCGCTAACAAGTTGATCACAAATTGCAGTTTTAGATATTTTCAAAGACATACTGAGAATGACTGCTCTCAACTGTCACTTTTAATTTAAATAAACAAACCAAAATTAACTTAAATCAATTGATGACTGCCTTAATACTTGCTAGTCCAGTTTTATATCATTACACGATAGATATACTGAAAAATAAAGTATAATATGAGGAAAAAATTAGTTGATAGGCAACCCTGACTCTCTATAAGCAATCATGTTAATAAACGTAACCTCTGACTTTTGATGATAGATGGATTGACAGTTTTGATGCTCATTAGATCTTAACAGACTCAAATGTAGCATTTATGGCCTTTCATGACAGAAAATATACTTACAATTTTCTGATAAAATATAGGATATAGACTACACCAAAGAATCATCTTTTATTTAATTAAAGAATATGAATAAAATCTATTATAAAGGGTATAATTAATTAGCACTCCAAATGATACCAATCACACATACTGTCTTCGCATCCTCTAACTTGTCAATCGTGTCACATGTCAATCAATTGTCACGTGTCAGTTGTGTCATGGTGAAGTTTGACATCACTGATAGAGAGATAGGTTAATCTGTACCATAGATAAGGTCATATCCAACCCATACTCATTCATGGAGACTGGAGAGTTTAGAGTGGTGTATCCTTTTCAAAAGCTCCTCCCCTTCTTCAAATGCAAGCTTCAGCTGCTTACTTCCGGGCTTCGGTTAGTGAGTGATGGAGATTGCGACCATATAAAAAAAATTTTAAATATTTTGGGAGTTTCTCCATTCAAATGTCAAATGACCATCATGGTGTCTCCACAATGGGAAAAGGAAACAAAACAGATATTTTTTTTAATTTGGGGGGACTTTTTTGTCTTTACAATAAACATGAAAATTAGCAACAGATGTGCCTTAATTAACCTTGTCAATTTATTCAACATAAAGATGTTAAAAAAGTTTAAATCTTCACTGTTTTTATATGGATACCACTTATAGCAGATATATCAGATGGAGGTCCCAATAGGGTTAAATGTATTCACCCAAGGTTTTACTTTTGTAATAGCAATTATTTAAGAAGTGTATTATTTTCCAAATGAGGAATTTATGACCTTGAACCAATTAAAACAATTAATTCTTAAAAATAATTTAAACCTCCAAACTATTATGTATTGCCTGAGTCACATTTGCTCTGATTCATACTCATTTCAGTATTTTGTTCAAAATTGCATTCAGTTTTGAATTAAATACTAGTACTCAATCGGCCGTGCGCTGGGCGATGGATCAGAGCAAATGTGACCCAGGCGTTAGAAGAGTAGATTTTAATTCTGATACCGATCACACTTCAAAAGGAAGAAGATGCAAAGGTTTAAAGATGGTAAACCTTATGGACTTCTTCACTATTTCTGGAATGTGATACATTAACTTAAAGATGCCAGAAAATTGGACCAACACACTGTGTTTGTTTTGCCAGAAAATTATTAGCCTCAACAGCTGACGATTTGCTAATCTGTTGAGTATGGTGCAACAATCAGATTCTTCATTTAAACGAAAAAATGCCATGTCTATTACGTTCCTAAGGCAATGTAGAAATTGCTGAACATTTAAACGATGTTAATGGCAACCATAAAAAATTGTATGCAAATTTTATTTTATTTAAATTTTATTATTTTTAGAAATATATAAGAGAAATTACGCAAAGTAATAGAAATAGATTGCAAAGAATAAATAAAATATTTAGTCTTTATTTACTACTCAGTTAAATTGAGTTCACGAAGACTACATCAAATACATTCAACTGTATATAGTGATATTTAGGAGAGATAAAAATTAGATTCATCAGAGGGTGGACACCAATTGTTAGGGGCCACCATGGTCTAGTTGCTATGTTGCTACTATCATAGGCACCTGGATTCACCTGAGGTATGTTGCAACATGGGCAACTGGAGTGATCTGTTTCTGTGAACCTGGCAGCAGGCAGCTGCTTCACACCTTAAAACTAACAACTAAACAACAATAAGTACCCCTCCTTCTTTAAACAAACACATGGAGATTCTCAATAGGAATGACTTTGAAATCATAAGTTGTCATCACTCTAGTATTTAACAAGGCAAACATATTGTGAAAGCCTCCATCAAGACTACTCAACTGAGGTGTGAAGATCTGACAGAGAAATATTTGAAATTTTGGCAGGTAAATGAAAACATATACTAAGTGGTCCATGAGTGTTTGGCCAAGAGAATTTTCGCCCATCAGTTGTTTTACGTTTTTGGTAATCAAATTATCGCCAACATCTTTGGAGCATATTTGATGCCATATTATGTTATGACATATTCTGTCAATCTTTTATTTGATTAGATTTTATTTCATTTTCCACCAATTTTTCTAAGTAATACCTCCAGGGTATGTTTTATTTTATTTAATATACATTAAAACCTGTCTGAGTGGAACACCTTTGGTAACTCTAAAATGTGTTCCACTTGGAAGGTGTTCCACAAGGTTCGTTTAGCATTTAGTCAGTTGGTTTTGGGAATCTGAAAAGTGTTCTACTAACAGAGGTGTTCCGCTTTTAGAGGTGCTCCACTTTACAGGTTTCACTGTTTAAGCTAAGTTCCCACCAACGATGCTTAAGTGGCGCTTTGCACGCCGCTTTAAAGCGCCATCAAAGCGCCGTTGGTGTGAATTTAGCTATATCAAACTAGAAACCCTGAAAAATGAAGGATATAAGACCCCAGAGACCTCAGATCATGAAGTGACTTTGCAACATTCAAGTAGATGTAATAAAACATTTTCCTGGTGACATCCAAATGGATGCCACATAGATTTTATTTTCTCATAACAAACACACAAAAATAGCAACTAAATCTGGTACAGTTATTTTAACTTCCAATATATCTGAAACTACCACTCCCGATTATTTACCATATTGGTTGACCAGCATGTAATTGTGGGGAAGAAAATCAATTTGTACCTAGGGCTGGGGGCAAGTTTTGAAAACGGATACTACATTCTGACCACAGTGTTTTGTCAAGAAAGCTAAATATGTCTAACACTCTATCAATCCTGTCCTTGTTTAACAATGTGGTTTCCACAATTTGGTTTCCAAGGAGGTCGCGATGACCATTTGTCATAACGTGATTTGGGATTTGTTTTATTGCCTTGGTGTGACAACTGAAGTTTGGTGGTTTCGATGAAATTCAACTCAATGGATATATTTCTTAAAATGAACCACGTTTAATATCCACAAGTAATGAAACTATTAATGAACAATAATACCGACTTTCTTTTCTGAACATACCAAAGCTTGAAAAAGTATCTTGATTAAGTTAGCAGCATGAAAAATTCCGAAAGCAATGCAGGTGCATGTATTATTAAGAGAGTAAGTTCACTCATACTTAGTGGGAGAGCAATATTTCAGGCGTTGATTTTTACAGAAAGGAAAGTTTGTATGAATGTATTTTTAAGTTGCAGATGGATGTGAATCAAAAAGTGTTTGGAGTCAGAAAACACATGTGGGTCAAAACCTTGGTGAAACCTGCATTATATCCAAACACCTCTCTAATCTGAACACCTCTCATACAATACACTGCTTTCTGATCTAATTTTGTTGAATCTTTGATGTTAAAAAAACTTGAAATGTCAATGTCAAACAACTGCCAATCCAAACAATTTAATAGCTGGGCCTCAGAGCTGTTTGGATTATAGAGGCTTTGGTATATGATATAAATGGCACCATCTCTCATAATATATCTATGGACGACAACTCACCTGAAATATACAGTTAGGTACTCTCCTGTAGATTCGAGAAAATCGTTAGGTATTGTTTTTCCACAGAGTCCATTGTTTCTACCTGCTTTTTTCTGAAAAAGAACACAAAAACATTTTAACAATAGGATTTTTCTCATTACCTTTAAGCTTTTAAATCATTTGCATATGAATCATATCTTTTACTAATACTGGTATAGGACTCATAAGGGTGATGTGACAGGGCGGTATCTGTAGCCATAGCTTAAAGTCTCTGAGTTCTGTGGGAGGGGATACAATAAGACCCCTACCAGATACAGGCAAATCAGTACCCTTCAAGATCGGGATTGGCTTCTATCGTAGCTATGGAAAAATTTGAAATACCCTTGGACCAAGGATGGGCCATCAGATTCACGCATTTAAGACAAATCAATATAGTAATAGAATTAGAAACCACCATACATCAACTCATTTGACTCCGCTGAAAATACAACATGGTTTTTAAGGCTACCAAGTTCAAAGCTGTCAGGGACTAATCAATAGCTCAAGTGACAGTACTCACACACTCCAACCGACATAATCGTTTATTGTATCACTTTAAATGGGGATAAAACACTACTAGTCAAATATTGACACAACGGCAACCCCTGTTCTCTATGTGAACCGCTTGTGGGGTTAGTAACTCTATCAATGAAATAATAAATATCGATAATAAAAATCTTTTGGATGTTTTCCTCTAAAGGAGCTTAAGAAAGGATGTAGCTTTTGCCATAATTTAGAATTTAACATAATTGATTCTGAAATCTAATAAAAAATTCTATTCAAGCATTTTATGTTAACTTTTGTAACGTTGGTATAAAAATAAATGATTCAATTTAATACCGATCATTGTGCTGTAAAATTAGAGGTTTGGCTACGAGTCTAGGTCACCCTGACATGAATGTGGTAATTGTGACATACGAGTGCCATAAATTGTCATTTCCTAATTAATTCAACACTCTTTAAAAACATTAATTCATTTTAAATGTTTTTCTTACTTTAATCACATAGGTCTGTGCTTGAAAAACTTGTTTTTTGAAAGTCCAAATAAAATGTTCAGTTGTTTTAATACACTGGTACTTTTACTTTGTCGATATTCTTTTTAAATATAAATCAAATTTTAAATATGAAACTGGCTGATTTCTTGCGTTCTGATACGCATCAGTCAGACATCGCTCAAGACTGAGAATCTTTGTTCTTTCATCCACTTTTAATGCAACAAATAAAAATAAATACAAAAAATCATCCAGAACTCCTGGATTTTTTAGAAAATAAGCATTACAAGGACGTATCTGAACAAATACTATAATGATAAAACAATGATGTAAAATCATTATCTTAAACTCGTCCCTATATCCTTAATATTATTTTGCTAAATTACGCGAACAACAATCAGGTGAATGTCGCAATCAGACATCCTTTGTCTGTGTTTTCTTTTACATCACTTCCTCAAGTCACAACAACAATCTTGTTAAATAAACACCTAAGGTTGAACCTACTTGACATCATTGCTTGGTATGGCCCAGTTTATGGAGTGTGAAATATGCAATGTCAGTTGCATACAGATGAATTTTCCTTTTTACAGTTAAGATTAATTAACGAACAATGTAATATGTGCATCACCGCCCTGGTTTCAATATTAAAATATAATACCTAAAGAAGGGTATGTAAATTAGATTGTGACCTACATGGCTTTCATTTTCAATCTAAAATCCTTTCTTATTCTTAGTTGCAACAGAATTTCTTTAAACATTTGTGGTTTTATGTTGAAAATGAGGGAGTTAAGACGAACTGCAGTTCCTGAAAACATTTTGCAGAAACATCAAAATGATATAGGTAAGATTGTAAACAGACTAGGAGGGTAATATACAGAGTAGGCCAAAAATGAAAGCATTAAAGCAAGTGGCCACAGCACCCACCTGAGATTTTAAAAACAGGCTTGCACCTACCTAAAAATCCATTTGCACCCACTTGAAAATGAGATCATGAAAAATGGGCATATTTTGACCAATTTCGGTCTGAATTGTGAAAATGAGAATTTTGCACCTACTTGAAGAAAAATCCTGTGGAGATCACTGAAATATCTCTGGTCAAAATGGTTTATTTAGAAACATGGATACTATTTAGACCATCTTAAAGGAATTCAAAACATATAGAGCATTAGGGGTTGTCTAAATTGTTCAGAAATGTCTAAAAATTGAAAAATGAATAACATGGAAGCTTGTTTGGCTCATCCTGTATATAGGAGTAGAATAGCATAGTATAGAGTAAATGGTGCTTAAATGTGCAAGTAATCTACTGAATAAAAAATGTGCTCAAAATCATTATTCCGGCTTCCAGGGGAGATGTAAATAGAGGCATCTGAAAATCAACACCTTATGTTTAGTGCCCACATCATAGAAATGGTATCTACAAACTGCCTCAAGACTTCTCAATGGTATGGAAAACACAATCAATAGAAACAAAACCTGAACACTGTGAAGTCAACTGTCTCTTTTACAAGAGTGCAGAAGCACCTACCCTGAATCAACGAGTCATAGGCATGATATCCTCTGACTATTCTGCAGATAATTTCACCATTTCTATGTTCAAAAGATCTGAAATCTTCATTGCTTTTTATTACCCTGGAGACCAGGGCTCAAAGTAATACCAATGAAAAGAGTAAAATCTTCTTTTAAAAACTGAAGAGTTGCAATTTTTCAGCTGACATTCTGATATCCAGGGTATACTTAAAGAAAGAGCCTGAGAAGTCAAGTCCCATATTTCATGATAAGAAACAAAGTTCTGCATGTACATCTTGGCTTCCCAAAGAATAAAATAAAAACTAGAACACCTGGTTTTTAAGTGACACACAAAGATAAATCTGTAAAGACTTTCATCAAAAATATGTGCCATTTGACACTTTCCAGGGGAAAAATAAATATCCTAAGAATCTTGCTTGAACTGCTTGAAATACATATGTTCATCTTATGGTGACAGATGTATTGAAATAGACTTGATTTCCCTTATACTTATAACTTAAAATTGCCAATCTTGACAAAAATGTCCATCAAAATTCAGTGAAATATGAAAATATAGATCGTAATGGGAGAGCCTCTTAATTCCCCATTTTTATGTGACTGATTCAATATGGCATCAACAGCTCTTTAAATACTCTCTCATCTGCACATAGCCAAAAAACAGCTGATTATTCAAAATGAGGCTGATTGGTTAAAAGCGTTGTGCAGAATACCACTTTTCGATAGTTCGATTTTGTTCCAGAGTCTCATTAGTAAAAAGAGGCTATTAGTGCCTCAGGGTCTAGAGGGGTGAGACGTAATAATAAATCCTAAAGTTTCAACACATACTTCAAATATTACAAGCCAATCATACTATTCTTGACATCCCAGAGTTAAAAGTGCCAGATATCTTTCAACAGGGGTTATATTTAACACCTTCCAAGGTGGTTTCTCACTGATTCTGAGATACAGTTTCTAAAGCACAAATGTAAGTTCATTGAACTAGAACAAATTCACAAGTTGTTTCTAATGTTATGTCACACATCAGTTAATTCCCGTTCTAGTAACTTTAAGAGTAAGCCATAAAATGAAGGATTATGGCAGATGGCAGTCTTCATCCATTTGGCTTATCTTTAAGCTGCTTTATAAGAACAAATAATGGACTGCTTGTTTCATATGATAGATAATTGTATATGTTTATTGTTTCATCTTGTCATCTTCATTTCAGGCCTGAAAATGGGCCTTTATTGGCCTGGGATCTGCTAGTATCAACTGTTGACAAGATTTGGACATGATTATCTTAGAATGCCTTCCACAAACTTGAAGCAAGATTATTGTAAATTATATAACTTGTAAACAAATAAGAAACAAAGTAAATAAAATGATGTGTAATTTAAAGGATCTTGTACTTACTAAAGTTTTTCCTAAGATGCTACTGGCATCATATACATATAAGGCGTCATTGCAGAGATCATTATAGTATATATCCGGGATATCCAACTCCAAGATATTTATCATTATTCTTAAATTAGAATTCCTTGCTTTAAATGTTAATCGACATTCGATATTATTTTCGTATAGTTTGTTGTTTTTGTAATCGTAATGTGAGTATACAGTGGCGCCATCTATAGTTACTGTTTCTCCACATGACGGGCCATTCATATAAACTGAAAGTACAGAAAAATACAACTAGAATTTAATAACAGATTTACAATTTACATATGATCATACAATGCTCTTTTACCATATACTGCCTAATAGAAGTCTAATAAGGCATTAAGATGACAAAATGTCATCACCAGGTAAGTTATTGCAAATGCCAAATGGTGATAACATAAGTGTAGCAAAAAACAATTTGTTACAGGGAAGGCAGTCACAAAAATGCTTGCTAGCATTGTCGCTCTGACATAACTGGATTGGAAATACCATTTTAAATGCTTTAGTTAAAAAGAAACACAAGGTATAAACATGCAAAATGTCACCACCTGCCATTTGTTACAGATGCCAAAAGTCACCCGCCAAACACCATCCACAAAAAGTTAGAGACGATAACAATATGTCACCACTTGTGGTAGTGACATATAAATGGTCAACTTATAAAAGCACCAAACATCCCTTAAGAAAAAATGCTTGTTTTCTCCTCATGTGGTTAAAAGATGACCTTTTTTAACCACATTTTTACCACTCAAGATATGTAAAAGTGTGGTTGTGGTCACCTGTTTTGACACTCCTAAAAGTGTGGACCCCACTGGTATTTCTTCCACAGTTCCAAGAAATATCTCTCCATAGTTTCTCCTCATAATGAGAAAGTGTGGTCAAGGTGTTACCAAAACTATGGAAGAGCAGGACATTCACCTTAATATGATTTAAGGTTACCATATTATTTATAGGGGTTAAAAGGGTTAATGCTTGTTAAATATATTTTTGCATCTTTTTCATCATCAAACAAATATTTTATTAAACATATGTGACACAAATGAGAATGTTGTATGATTGAAGCATGACTTATTTGTCTCAATTATTATTGATTTATTGGTGTACTGTAGATTGGGTTAATTTGGCGCTACTTAATTTGGCAATTTTGACATTTATGGCATATTGGCGGCTATTTAATTTGGCGGATATGCAAAAAAATTTACCATGTAAATGGGCATGTTTGGCTATGTTCATTTTTTTGAGGACCACTGGCGATATTCACCACGTTTGTACATTTTCGTGAGATCATCCTTTACATTTTGCACCTCGATCGATGCTTTTCCTTTCTAGTTTTTCCCTGAGTATTAATGAGTGACTGACCAGTTCTGAGAGATTTTTTTTCATATTTTGGGAAAAAACTTAACCGGAAGTGACCTAAATACACTGGACCAAATACCCTAGATAATTCCCGGGGATTCATTCTAAATTTTAGCGAAGATTTATATTGGCGAATTTTTCAATTTCGCCAAATTCGCCAAATTAAAGCGGGCGCCAAATTAACCCAATCTACAGTATATTTTAATCATCAAACTAAATGTCTAAATATAGGACCAAATATCTGGGAAACAAAATCAAAATCAAAATCAACCTTAATTTTTATTCACTATCAAAGAGGATGATGTTTGAATATGACTATTCGTATTCACCATTCTTTGAAGGCTGTATGCACCTTTCACCTGACTGTGACCAATGACAATTCTGCAGTAAATTTTGTGAAACAGATAAAAAGTGTAAGCATTGGAGATTAATAACAGTAAACAAAATGAGCATTTGCTATTCATACCAAGGTTAAGATTGAGTCTATTGCCAGGTAGGATGAGTTGTTCTATTATGAGAAATCTAACAATTTTAAGCAGTGTAAAAACTAAATTGAATTAAAAGAATTCCATTATATATAAAAAAAACACTGACCATACGATTCAAAGGTGTGGGTCGGGTGTGGTAAAAGTGTGGTTTGGAGATGGTATAAGAGCAGTACAGGTATGGGTGATGTGCAATATGAATAAAAAGTGTGGACTTAAAGTGTGGGGAAAGTGTGGTCTTTAAGTCAACAAACCAAAAATTGTTTACATAAGTTATAACAACAATGTTTAGTTCCACAGCTAGGACAAAATGAGTTTATTATTCAGATTTGGATCAGATATAGATTTAATGAAAATTAGCATCCAAGATCAATCATTATACTTATAATTATTTATCATGTAATTAATTATTATCAAATAATTATTAATGATACTGAAAAAGAGACACATTGAAGTGACGAGTCTGGACTGAACATACAGAGGCAATCAGAACATGCCACCTAGATAGATATCACATTTAAGTACATTTTTAAGCACAAAATGTACAGAAAAGTATCATTTAGATGGATTGAATTATCAGTTAAAACTCCTTACAAATCTGAAATATGGTCCCCAAGCACAATAATGTACATTGCAAATGTTTACAATAAGGCAAAGTTATGTTAGACCTTCACTGAAAATAGAAGAAAAATACACTTCGACCAATTTACGAAAAAAGGATCACATGATTATGAATATAAATATCTCCCACAAAATGCATCAAGTTGGGTTGTTGCTATAGAACAACAAACTATCAACCTTTGGTATCAACTTAAACTGTGTTTTTCAGAATCTCATAGTTTTTACTAAAACTGCTTTTAATAATCTGTCCATATAACTGTAGCCTTAAGGCTTAGGGTGATTAAGTACAAAATATGTCATGGAAAATATACTGATATTAATGGTTAAATAAAAATCACATTGCTGGGTTTCCTCATTTGCAAGAATATAAGGTTTTTGAAAAGATATTTAGGACTTAATTTTTCCACAAAGCACATTCTGGAATGTGTAATAACAAGTTAACTGACTCATTGAGCTATTGTTTTTATAAACATATCAGCAACATCCTTTTCTTATTTAATCATTAGATTTAGACTCTTGATTAGAATTATAATCTCATTATTAAAATTAACATTGATATAATTCAAATAAATTCACTAACTACAGGTTTTACTTTAATTCTTGTGACTCTTCAAGTCTTTGATGTCTAAGAAATAATAAAATCATGTCTGGACTATATTTTAACATATTGATTACATGTATTTGTATCCTTTTAATACAGCAGACACATCCTGTTATTCTTTAATATTAGTCTCATAATAAGATTAGTCAGTTCAGTCAAAATAAACTTCAGTTTAGAATAACTAATTTTAAATACTTTGTTTTATATTCATACAAACTTCTGATCTACCTAAATAGAAAAGTCGAGCATCAATCCCGGGAGCATCATTCATTTGCCTCTAATCCTTATGTCATTTTACTGAAATATTTTGTAAAGAATCTCCCTATGCTTCGATCATACAACATTCTCATATTTGCGATATGCATAATGGAATATTTGAAAGAAGATGCTTAAAACAATTTAGATGCCAGAATAACAGGTATAGCACTGGCTTATCATGTTCGGTATATCCTAAAATATTTTATGGCAACCATTAACCCTTTTTACCCCTATTAACAATATGGTAATCTTAAATCATATCAATGTGAATGTCCTGCTTCTCCATAGTTTCATGAACACCTTAACCACACTTTTTCATTATGAGGAGAAACTATGGGAAGATGTTTCTTGGAACTGTGGAAGAAATACCAGCGGGGGCCACACTTTTATGTGTGTCAAAACAGGTGACCACAACCACACTTTTACATATCTTGAGTGGTAAAAATGTGGTTAAAAAAGGTCATCTTTTAACCACATGAGGAGAAAACAAGCGTTTTTTCTTAAGGGATTAGAAATAATATAAAAATGAGGTGCTGTACTGCTATACCCTCATGAACTTTTTAAATAACATGTCTCCCCCATTGAATTGCACCCTGTGAAAAGAATGACATGTTCAGATATTTGAACTTAACATGTAAAATTGAGTTTCAGCATCCTAATAAAAATAAACTGGGAAGATCACTGCAGTCTCTTAATTATCATTAACTTTGAATCTAGAGGAAGCCATAGAATTAAATATTTACTACATTGTATAGCTAAAGTTCAAACTCATACGCCCAAGTGCTAACTTTCCTAACACTAACAGTGTTGATAAACTTGGCCAATAACCCAGATGCGAGTAGAAATAATCTTGATTTACGTCATTAAAAATTCAAAATTCAGTCAAAGTAATATCATATTTGAAATCTACATCTAAAATTACATCTAGAAATGTGGTTTTAAAAAGTGTTAATCAACTTTGAAAAATTAATTTTCTTTGAAAATGTGACTTCTAGCTCGGGGAGATTCCCCATAGACCCCATGCTATAAAATCACTAAAAATGAAATATCTTTTCTTTTAGTGGAAAGATAATATTTTGCTTTACTGGACATATTTTCATTAGTATAAGTATCAGACGCATAAGGGTTATATGAAAATTGAGCCACTTAAGTTGATAATATTCAAGTTTAAGGGAACTTTCTTGTATACCTGCCATGTTAATTGACCCGAATCAGCCACCTGGTGGTGAAACTGGTAACTACCTACTCGCATTTGGGTAATTAGCTCATTGAGATATGATGCACAATCAAATCAAACCAAATAAACTTCAAATCCTAAAATAGCAGGCATCCATTCAAGGCAATATTTAAGACTTAGAACTGATAAGTGTTCTATTAACTTAGAATAACATACAAATTAATAAAGTCATCTGACAATGTCCAAATGCAACATCGTTGTTCTTGACATGATTTTTCCAATTGTTTTGACCAAATTTAGTCTTGTTTTAATTGCTCGAAACCTCCCATATTGAAAATTGCAGTTTTACCTCTTGACTAACATTCTGTTGAAACTCTATGAACAAAATAAGACAATATTATGTATAATCCAAATTCTAAACAATTAAATGCATATAATATCAATCATACCTTCCCTGAGTGACCTAACTTTGACCAACTGTTGACTGACAGATTAGGATTATAGGAAGATAAGGATTAACCCTATTATACTTTAATCCCAATATCCTAATCCAATACACTATAAAACTTCCCCTGATGACCATTCCTTGGAACTATGAGTCACAACTATTATGTTTCCATGGAAATATGAAAACATTATGCTAAAATGTTATACATTGTCAGATTTTAGATATTGGCTGTTCATACAAACTACGTTTTTTAGTACTCTTTAAGTATTTTCAGAAACAGGAAC